GAGGACCTGAAAATGAAAAAGGATACTACTTATAGGAAGTGGAAGGAAGGCCTGGCTGCAAAAGAAAAGTACAGATAGCTAGCAAAGATTTGCAGGGATGGCGTTATGGAGGCAACAGTGGAGAATGAGCTGAGTTTAGCAAGAGAAGTTAAAAGCAACAAAAGAGCTTTCATCAAGTACATGCATAGTAAAAGACAGAGAAAAGAAATAGTGAATCTGCTGCTCATTGGGGAACGGGAAAATGATAACAGGTGACAGAAGTGCTCAATTCCTACTTTAACTCAGTCTTTTCCTAAAATACTGTCTATAATCCTCCAGACAGATGTGAAGTACAAGTGAAGGGGACAGAATTGCAGCCTGAGACTGATAAACAAATAATAACAAACAAATAACTGATAAACAAAGAATAACTTATTACTTTAAGTGAGTTCAGCTCTCCAGCAGTGGATGAAGTGCATCAAAGAGTATTGAAGTAACTGGCTGAAGAAGACTCAATACCACTGTATGTTATTAATTTTTAAATCATGGAGGATAGGAGGAGTGCCAGATGATTGGAGGAGGGCTAATGCTGTTCCTGTTTTCAAAAAGGGTAAAAGGGATGAAAATAAAAATTAGACATCTGATGTATATACTTTGACTTTGATTCATGCATCGAGCAGGGGGTTGGAGAGGATGACCTTGTAGGCCTCTTCCAACCCCATTATTCTATGGTTCTATGATTCTAATGAGGGAGAGGACAGTTCTTGGGCCAAATAATTCCAGTATCTTGAGTGTTACAGCAGGTGTTTCTTTCAAATTAGCTGTAATTGTTTGGTGAATGGTCTTCAAGACTTAAGCATAGGATTCCTTGAAATTCTGATTTTACAGCCCAGAAAAGAATTTGTCACTCTGCAACATTAATGTGCTTCAGCTCTAATTATGAGCATCTCTGACATCTGTTTCTGGCATGACCACAGACAAAATAGAAAGGAAGCAGTCCAGGAGCAGTGAAAAACAATGTTTGTGGCCTGTCATTGAGCACTGGAGTACCTTTATATCGTACTATTTGGTGTAATCTGAAAAAAAGAGAATTCTGAGAACTGTAGTCCAAAAAGTAACTTTTCTAAACTCTGTTTGTACATTTTGCAAAATATGCCCCAAATTTAAAATGGATGTGCCTGGATCTCTCTTTCCCTTTTGTAGTTAGCTCAGCAAGGGATAACAGTAGGCACATGCATGGGGCAGGGTTATGTTTGATATTTCCCAGGTGTACTTGTGTATGTATCTCATGTCGGTCTGCTTACGTACTAGTGTTAATCAAAGTAAGATACTATAATCTTATTTTATTAAAAACAAATGTAGAGTGAGAGTTTCTGGTTCAGTGGTGGGAGACAAAAAGATACAGATGGGGAAAATCAAAATGATTTCTCACAAGTCAATGAATTGTGAAGCAAACATTTTCTGACAATTTCCCATATAGTTTCAAATACAATGTTCCATTTTTATAACACAACAGTTTTGTTTAGCTGAATGCTTCTTCTGATATTTTGTTGTGGTAGATATTTGAGTTTCAGTGGAACAGCATACCTAATAGACAAAATCAGATTTGCAAGGGAGCTATAGAATTGTAGGAGCTGATTTCCACAGATAGCTATACTATTAAAAGGACTGTCATAGCAGTGGAGTATTTCAACATCCTTCATTATAAGTAGAATTTAGTGTATCAACCATAAACCTGTTTGACGTATTGCCAGCATAATAAATTTATTGAATATAAACTTGTGCCTCAAACTGTTATTATTGTATTTTCAAAATGTCATAGTATCCAAGTAATAAAATTCTTACTGTCTAAAATGATAGCATGGGGCATTTCATTATCAATATATTATTTATGGTTCTTGCTGAGTTGTTTTTCATAGATTTTCTTTTGACAACACCTACGATTTTTATATATGTACTCATCTTTTTGTAAACACACACACAACCATTCCTGTTGTTTGCATATTGTTCATAGGAATGAATTGCTGAGCTTTACCTTTCAATCAACATATATACAGATATATGCCCAGCATTCATATTTACTCAGAAGAAAATTCAGTTGAAATTATTTGACTTCTGAATAAGCATCACTGTGAGTCTTTCAGGGGAAATAAAACTGGATTCTCAATATATTTTACTCTCCACCCCTCGCATTTTTGCTTGGTGTTTATATGGTATGTTATTTAGAATGCATATGTCAGATACAGAGTTGTTGTTGTTGTTAATCATCATCATCATCATCATTCTTATATCCCACCCATCTAGTTGTTTACTACTCTGGGCAGCTTACAAGTAGAATAAAACAGTTAAAATGTAATAACAGTTTAAAACAATAAACAATCATTCAAGATGGAAGGGGGGAAAAGAAAAGATAGATCAAGTGGACCTCAGAGTGAATGCCTGCCTAAATAGCCAGGTTTTCAGTTGACTTTTAGAAATATCCAGCGAAGGGGCCATGTTGATCTCTAAGGGGTGGTTATTCCAAAGACGAGGAGCCACTGCTGAGAAGGCCCGGTTTCTTGTTTTTTCTTTCTAGGCCTCTCTCGGCGTTAGGCTCCTCAGCCTCACCTCCTGGCTCAATCACGTGATATGGGCAGATCAAATAGGGAGGAGGCGTTCCACCAGATATCAATGTCCTAAACCATTTAGGGCTGTATATGTAATCATCAAAACTTTGAAATCAACATGGAAATGAACGGGCAGGCAAAGCAATGCGGCGAGTGTGGGAGAGATACTATGATGTTTTCTGACCCCACTAAGAAGTCTGGCTGCCGCATTCTACACTATTTCAAGCTTCTGCATCAATCTCAAAGATGGCCCCGCGTAGAGCGCATTACAGTGGTGTAATCTCAAAATTACAAGCACATGGACCAGAGTGGTGAGTGCCCCAACATCAAGATAGGGATGCAGCTGGGCAATCCACCAAAGATGGAAGTAGGTGTAGTGGACCACTGACGCCACCTGGGTTTCCATGGTGAGTGCCGGGTCCAGATGGATCCCCAAGCTGTGAACCTCACTCTTCGCGGTGAGAGTCACCCCCCCAAATGAGAGGGAGTTTCCCAAACCACTGATGGGGGGGCCACCCACCCTCAGGACCTCCGTCTTGTCCGGGTTCAGCCTCAGCTCATTTTCCTGCATCCATTGCAGTGCAGTCCCCAGACAGTGCTGAAGGGACAGCCCTTATGAGAACTGGAGTGCTCTTTCATTACTAATGGGGTCCACAATGATGTTAGCTCCCAAATTTGTATCTGGTATTGCAAGTTGTGTGTGCGCACATGTGTGCATGCATGCATGCATATGATACATGGAGAGGTTTTAACCTCAGCCTAATCCTAACTTTGCTTCCCATTATCACATGGATGCATGATGGGGCTGAGAAAGCCTTTGCCATTAGTGGTACAGAAGCCAGCCTGCTAGCTTTAGCTCCCCCCCCCCACCTCCCAGTAACCTCATATCGATTGAGTTTTGGGCTTTGCAGCAGTAATACCAACTGCTTCTAGGTCACTGGAGTAGGTAAAATTTCTCCCCATTGTGGTACCTCTGGCCGTGATCACTGCCTTTGGTCACCATAAGTGGCAGCAAAGCAGTGATCTTGCCAGTGTTTTGAGGTGGAGGTGAAACCATATTTTTTCTGCAAGTAGAAAGTGAGGTTCTTGGGAGGCCACACAATAGTAGGGAGACATCTGATTCTGAAACTTCAGGGCCATAGTTTGTGCATTCTTGAATTAGTTGTAGGGGGTTAAATCTAACAGGGGCACCCTCAGTATGTCCATGGTAATTTCCCTTACTGTTCAGAGGACCACTGACTCTCCAGAGCAGCATTTCATGGGGTGCAGGGAGCTGGAGAACCAAGAACAACACAGTAAAAGTGAACTCTCTTCCTCTAGCAGGGATATCCCATGGTTGCAGTTCCACTCATGGCAATTTTGTATCCAATCCATGATTAGAATTAATAAACACAGAAATCCTATCAAGACCTTAACTATTTATTGCTTTTTGCAGCAAAAACACTCTTTATTCCACTAATAAACATGTTTCCTTTCTTTTATTCTAATATAAAATTTAACACAGCATAATCATATATTATCATGTGGTGGGATATATGTTGTTTTCCAAACAGGGACCTATTCTAGGGAGATTCACCTAGCTCACTGGTTCTTAACCTTGGGTTACTCAGGAGTTTTGGACTGCAACTCCCAGAAGCCTTCACCACCAGCTTCCTGACTGGGGTTTCTGGGAGTTGCAGTTCAAAAGCATCCGAGTAACAAAGGTTAAGAACCACTGACCTAGCACTCCAATATTAGTCAGCCATTTATGTGAAAATTTCAGAAAGGAGACAGAAACAAAATAATTTCCACGTTCTGGCAAAGTGCATTTCTGCAAATTTAACATACTTACAGTGTAAACTTACATATGTGAACCTTACGTGTTCAATAAATATGAAGGATCAGCTGACAAATAACTGTTTTTGCTCAAAGATTTATGTGAATGGTGTCATGTATTCATGATGTAACACTTATAATAACCTAAAGATGCAACTTTAGGTTATTGTAAGTCTTACATCATGAATACATATCTGTGGTTTTAAAGCAGTGTTTGAATAATTCCTTCTTCTGGTTTATTTATTCATTTAAAATGGAAATCTAATTGGAAAATAGTGTTTGCCTAAAGTTATTTAAACTAAATAATAATCTCCACTGTATCAGAATTCACTGCCTCTGAGTTTTCCCCTATACCTCTGTTGCAGTCTTTATGCATATATCTTTTCCAGGGAGAAAATAGCTTTACAGCATCATTTTGATTGGAAAAATTGTGAAGAAACCCATTCTTCATTAATAAATGTAGTCCCCTGGGTGTCATTTCCATTGAAAAAACAGTTCTTAGGACATACATAATTCCCTTAGAAATAGTATTTTTCTTAGGGCATATGCAAAGCATACTAATTTTGTTCTCTTCTTCTCCTTCCCCATTTTCTTCTTTAGGTACCTGATTAATGTGACCTTTGAAGGAAGGAATTTGTCTTTTAGTGAGGATGGCTACCAGATGCACCCAAAATTGGTTATCATCCTTTTAACCAAGTCAAGGACATGGGATCGGGTAGGTTACACCTTGCGACTCTAAAACTAGGATGGCAAGAGTATTCTTTAAAGGGTTTGTTTTCAAAAAGTAGATATTGCAGGTTGTTTATGATCAAAAAAGTTTATTTGGACAATTGGTTGCAGGTTAATTTTCAGAGCACAGAAGGCTACATCAACAGTTTCAAACCCATCCCCCAGGTGCAGTTAGTTACTCTTCTAATAAACATTTTTAAAAGTTACTTATTTTTCAAAAGTGATTAAAATAGTTACACTTCTTAAAAAAATCAAAATGCAATAAACTTCTCTGCTATGATATAAAACACATTTATGTAGTGGTGTTACACACACCTGCAAGTTAAGTAATCTTTTGTTACGTTATAATCATACTGTACTTAGTAACTTCAATTACAATCATAATGAAATTTAGAAGCTTTCATGTCTGAGAAGCACATTTTGATTCACAAAAGCTCATGCTGGAACAATTCTCCTAGTTTTTAAGGTACCACAATATTTTGTCCTTGGCTGCTGCTGTTGCTTCTCCTCCTCCTCCTCCTCCTCCTTCTATTGATCGGTGGATCTATCAATAAAAAAATTGTAAATATTGGTCCAAAAGGCCATGAAATGCATGTTTGTATATGCACACATTCATGTGCACAGATGCACCAGTGGGGAATAATACTTCACACAACTAAAGACGTGAGAACCTGTGACACATCATATCCATTAGTCTTTAAATTGTCACAAATCTCCTTGCATTTTTGATGCTGTTGGGCATTTGGTGCTGTTTGACAGAGCAATGTCATCACCCCTCTGCAATTTGTCACTATTGCTAGATAAGAAGTTAGAGAAAGACACATAGAGCTGAGTAATGCATCATCAGCATATTAGTGACAGCTTAGACCACTTTCTTTAGTCAGTTCCATCATTTTCATACTGTTATGTGTTATTTCAAAGGCAATGATTGACAGAAGAAATGACCCTCTATAGAAACACAATATGATGCATGGATAATGAATAGTCACTAGTCAACTAGAATATCTTTCTGTTAGAAGGAAGGAAGGAAGGACGGACGGACGGA